ATTTATTTGTCCTGCCCGTCGCTCCACTCACAGAGATCCATTAATCAGCAGTCTTAACTCCCGATCTTCGCTTGATGTATGTGCTTTAGCTTCTTTCCAATTATGTATTTCCAATTATATATTTCAAGCCAAAGCGAACCAGTGCGCTAATTGGAGACAGCGTCAGGAAGAGCCGACTTCACATGAGGGCTTGTGCCAAGTGTCCGCACCCCCTTCTTTAAAATCCGGGGGTGAATTATGGACACCGCTGGCAAGGCAGTCCCCCCCATCCCCTTGGGGGGGGGGGCCGGGAAGCCTGCATACTTCCCATAGCAGCCTCTTAATTACCTCGTGTGGGTCGGAGAGATGTTATTGTCGGCCATCTTCCAATGCGCCCCCTGGTGGCCCCGAAAAATTGGCTTTATTGACAGTGAATTTTGTGCTGATCAATTCATACAGTTCACTTGCTTTCAAGCAAACCAAGATCTCTTTGACAACCCAACATCAGCAAAACATATACCTCGCCCTGCAATTCTGTATGCTTTCTTCACCTGCTAATAAAACAAAAATCCCTTTATTTAAAAAAAAATAATTACCAAAAGACAGAAGAAACTTAGACTAATATCACTGCCAACATTTTCAAAATGGAACAAAATCAGGAGATTTTGATTTCCAAGTTCAATTTCAGTCTACTGAACTATGTTGCATTTGAGCATATATATTTCATTAGGTACCTTGGCTAGGCATGTATACAGCCCAGGAAGCAATTTGATGTATTTGGATGGAGAAGCAAAGGCTTTCTACATTCAGTAGATTCCTCATCCTTGTCAAAAGGACAGACAGACTCCTCAACCTACCCAAACCTCTCATATAACAAGGGAATTAATCTCAAAATACCAGGAGTTTCCTAAGAGATAAGGTTAGTATCATTCTGCTAGCCTTTCTGAATAGGAAGCATAATGTGATAACCTATTGAAACCAATTTTGTATGCAGAATGAATAGCATTTAAGCTCGTGAATCGTGCTCAAAGAGTTTACTTTACATGTTACATACACAGATACCTGTAGGTAACAAAATAATAAAGTTGCTTATTGTAGGAAATACATAACTTGAATAGGGGTTTCCAGTTCTAGTCTAACTAGAGAAGAACAAGGCACTTATGCCTGCTCCTTTTGTTCTCTCAGAGGATTGTTAAAGGTGACCTCTCATCTTGAGGTCCAAGAAAGAAGTGTGACAAGGAGAGAGAAATTGTAAAACAGGATGCAACCTGAGAGTATCAGTTTAACAACAAGGAGATAGAGAAGTAAGCTGACTGGGACCTTCAGATTCCCAGACTAACCTAACTCTGTCTATTTCAAACCATGCAACACCCTTCTTCTATAAGCTGAGTTGCACTCAAACATCCAACAGTTTGGTTTGAGAAGTTCCTGGGTACTTGTGCTCACCTGTAGAGGGAGATGTGAACTGCATACACAACACCAGCCAGTTCCAGAATCTCACAAGCCTGGGCAGCCCTGAGGCAATAGGAAGCACCCTATCCACCTGCTACCCAACACCACAGAGATGGCAAGCAGAAGCACCATGTTTGTTCAGGCTTCAGATCTCTCGGGGCCAAGCATCTTTGTGGCTGAAGCCCAAGAACATAACAAGATCCTGCTGACTCCTATCAAGTCCAGCATCCTCCTGCAGCTTCTGCCTCTATGAGTAAAGGCAGGACATAGACATCAGTCTATGGGTGCTTCTGCAATCTGATGGAAATTTTATTAAACCCCTGTATTTCAGTTCAAAACCCAAACTTTATGTATTCGCTCCCATATATTGAGAGAGAGCCGGACCATAAAGAAGGCTGATCACCGCAGAATTGATGCTTTTGAATTATGGTGCTGGAGGAGACTCTTGGGAGTCCCATGGACTGCAAGAAGATCAAACCTCTCCATTCTTAAGGAAATCAGCCCTGAGTGCTCACTGGAAGGACAGATCCTGAAGCTGAGGCTCCAATACTTTGGCCACCTCATGAGAAGAGAAGCCTCCCTGGAAAAGACCCTGATGTTGGGAAAGATGGAGGACACAAGGAGAAGGGGACGACAGAGGACGAGATGGTTGGACAGTGTTCTCAAAGCTATGAACATGAGTTTGACCAAGCTGCGGGAGGCAGTGGAAGACAGGAGTGCCTGGCGTGCTCAACTAAAACACGACTAAACAACTAAACAACAACATATATATATATAGATATCCTTATAAAGTGAAATTACCAATGAATCTGACTCCTCCCCCCCCCCTCCATTATAGGCTTCCCACAGCAACTCTTTTTGATCCTTCTTGCTATCCAAAAGTTGCATACAGGCCTCCCTCTCTCAAACAATGCAACAGGACATCATGTTACAGGATGCTACTGGCTACCGCTAGCCAAAGCTTTAATCTCATTTGGTAGGCCTCCCATTTCGGAACACACTAATGTGCTAATCCCACTGCTCAGCTGTTTGAGCTGCAGATGGACAGGCATCTGATCTCATCCATTAGCCTTGCGCCAAGGAGTCATATAAAGCAGACATGCCTTGGTGCCTTGATCACAAATCAGGTGTAAGAGAGACAGGAGGTTGGCAGCGAGAGTATTTCAGTCCCCACAGCCTAATTATGCAGGGAAAGTTTTGCATAGTTAGCATGTAGTCTTATTGTGGATGCTTATTGTGTTTCACTAAAGGGAATCAACAATGACATAGGTCCGCTAATAAGTCAGCTTGCAAGGAAACTATAACATTGATTTTATTGGGTCAGGCTTAGTACAGCAGATCCAGCAAAAGCAGAGCTGCTTCTAATGCAGTGCCTTTGCACCTGCAGATTTTGGGGGGGGGAATACTAGAACAAGTTCAAAATGAAAATAGCAGCTTCAGAGGGGGAGACAATTGGGGGGGTTGGGGGAAAGGGTTAAATCCCCTTCTCCTTGCACCAAAGTCCCAACTCAGCTCACGCTCCACAGCTCCTTTTTCTAAGAAAAACACATTGCAGGTCCCAAGCATGTGTCTATTTTGGATTTTCTTTGAGTAAGGTGCTATTGGAAAGTAACAGGGAAAGCCATATTGACTTAAGCAGTATGATAGCCCAGTATGATAGCCCATAGCAGCAGCTACACATTGGACTGAGCAGTCACATGGACTGCAGACTTGGTAGAAACCACTCAGTGGGCAGTATGTATGAACCAAGAGATTCACAGGTGGTCTTCTCCTTGCCCAGCTAGTACTCAGGGAGCACAGTCTCAGACCTGGTGGGCTACTGACAGTTGAGAACACATTTACAAGCAGAGCATGTGAGCTTCCTTTGAAGAATACTCAGAAACTTCAAGTGACTCAGAATGGCAGCTGTTAGATCGCTGACCAGAACTGGCCACACAAAACATATCTTCTCACTTCTTAAGCAGCTTTGCTGGCTGCAACATCTGTTTTGAGGAACTATTCAAAGTACCATCTTTAACCTTTAAAGCCATTGACTGTCTGGGTTTCCTAGGGGCCACCTTCACCCATATGAACTTGACCTGAACATTGCCTTTCTGAGGCCCCTCTCAGGCCGCCTCTGCCTTTTGATAGTTGGATGGGGACAAAGGAAAGGGCTTCTATGTTGTGTGCTCCAGTTATGCAACACGCTATGGAAGGAACCTTACCCGGTGCTGAATTTGGCAGAAGTTGAGGACCTTTTTTAAAAAATTCATTGGCTAACTCTGTTTTAGGCTGCAACCTTTTATCCCTTTGCCTGTAAATAAGGCCCACTGAACTTAAAGAGGCTAACTTCTGAACAGACTCACAGCAGCACACTGTTAGTTGACATGGATCTTCCAGTTTCTCTTTTTCTCTGTTCCTTTTACCAATGCTTTATTTTTTAATCCTTTTTCAACTCTGGATTGTCAGCTGCCTTGGGACTTGTAAGCCTGAAGGGCAGGGTAAACAATATTTTAAAAAAAAATAACAACGTTGTGGCTGACTTTTGGCTATTTGTTTTTCTGCAAAGTACACCCTTTATGCTAAGTTGACATTCACCAAGTTTCCAATCCTCCCAAGTTGCCCCATATGCCCATTGTTCTCTGGATAGAAGGAGGATCAAATGATGTAGCCCCACGCTGAGCATCTTGAGAGATGTGTTGCCTTGTTTAAAATTATGAATGCTTTGTGGTGAGATTCACTGCAGGGGGGAGCAGAAAGTAGATTGGAATCTACTTGTAGATCTCTTAGTGATCTGCAAGCAGATTGTCAAGGGGTTGTTTTTTTTACTACCAGTGGGTGAATGGTAGCAAACACAAACCAACTTTCCTCACCTGAACTAGAAAGCTAAGCAGGAATGGAGTTTTGTGTGAAAGGACTGTGATTCCAGTTTACTTCTGATCCTGGAAATAAATTGATAGGCTCTGAATGTGCTTCAGAGGCACTCTGTTATTTAATTCTAATTATATGTCATGTGTACTTGGCTCCGGTTGGTAGATCTTAAGAGTTGTAGTAAAAATAAAAGGAAAGAAAACTAAGCAGATCCAGCAAGCCTTGGATGACAGTCAGTTAGAATTCTAACTTATGTGTTGGTGTAGAGGAAAAAGCAGAAGGGAAGGAAGTTGAGGCAGTCATGCGGGGCTTAACTGCCACCACCTCTTTTGCCATTTGGGTGTCCTTTGCCATTTTGCGTTATACCATGCCTCCATGGCAGCCATTTTGTGACTGGTGGCCACAGCGCCAACTCAAAATTTAAAAGCTGCCGACTGGTCCATAAAGGCTAGTGCCCCCACTCCAGATGTTGTTGGACTCTTGCCTATCATCAGCCTCGGCCTGCAAAGCCGAGGAATGATGGGAGTTGTAGTCCAGCAATATCTGGAAGCCCACAGGCTCCCTGTTCCTGTGTTACAAACCTGGAGAATTACTCCTCAGAGTGCCTACCTGACCAATAGTTTGATTCTCATATTTATTGGCCCAAAACACAAATTTTTTTTGAGGGGGGTGAAACACTGGCTTTCTTGGCAACTTCCCATAGCCAAGTTTTATATTCCTGACTCGATAGCTCAGTCGGTAGAGCATGACAGTCTTAATCTCAGGGTTGTGGGTTCAAGCCCCACATTGGGCAAAAGATTCCTGCATGGCAGAGGTTGGGACTAGATGACACCTGTGGTCCCTTCCAACTCGACAGTTTTATGATTCTATGATTTATAAGACCTTCATCATTCAACTTAACTTGGATAGAATCATCACCATAACTTGGACTTTGAACCTGAGTATGATTTCATATGGGATGGTAAACTGAGCAGTAGACAGCTTTCTGTTCTTCCTTTTGATTAGTATATCAATTGCAAATATGAGTTTATGATAGGAATGACACATACAATACTTCCCTCCCCCGACACACACTGAAGGTACAATCCTTTACACACTTATTTGGGAGTGTCCCATTGAAATCAGTAGCACTTACTTCTTAGTAGACGTATATAGGATTTGCTGTTAATATAATGTATGAAAAGGGCTGGTCACCAAAATCCACAGGACAGCTCCCTCACAACTACATTATGCCTTACTGAATTCAATGGGATTTCAGAATAGCATTCTGTGGATTGGGGGCCACTATTTTCTTTTTAGAGTTGCCACCTTTTTCATGACTTTTTCCTGCGCTTTTAATAGCAACCAGACATACAGAAATTTAAGCCAATGAAACTTTTCTTGGCATAGAAATAAAGTGATGTGTCACTTTAATTCATGAGGAGTATCCAATATTATTTTCCATTCTCTCCTGAAACTGAGAATTGAGTGTAATGAGAGACTGATAAGAGTTAGCCAAATCTTCATATTGCCAGTATTTAAGTTCTACACTTCAAACTTTGAATACATTTTTGGTATAGATGAAGGATTTCAGGACTGAGTCGGTAAATGCTTATGACAGTTCAGTAACAAGACAAAAGATGCATTTGAAGTATAGGATTCAAATGAAGCATAACTTTTTTAAAAAGGAAGTCTTTTTTTATAAATGTTCACTTTAACTTGTTCAAAGTTCCATTTTTTAAAATTAACTTTATTAATTAAAATAATTGATGGTTTTTCTTTTATCAATGCAAAGTCACTTAACATAGCCTTTTGTCAGGCACATTACATATGCACATGGATTCAGTGCTTTTTTTTCTGGGGGGAGGGGACGCATACCCCTAAACATTTTGTGAATCTAAGTTTGGCCTCATTGCGGGGCAGTATTTCCTTTTTTATTATTATTCAAAATTAAAACAAAACATATTATCCAGAAACATATCATCCTTATTTTTTCCCCCATTTTTCCTCCCTCCCCCCACCCTCCCACACAAAATCCACTCACCCCAACCTCCCGACTTCCCATGCGGGGCTGTATTTCAATACGAGTAGAAAAATGAGAGTTTAACAATGTTTAGATTAACAATGTTTAGAAAAAGAAGGATATGACAAGAATTTGTTTGTATTGTTTGCCTTTTCTGTTTGTGTTTTTTATATGTGTTATAAAATGAATAAAAAATTGGGGGGGGGGAGAAAAGAAAAATGAGAGTACCCCTAAACATTTTTTTAGAAAAAAAGCACTGCATGGATTCATCCCCTTTCAGAGGAATTCATGTAAAAGAGAAATGGCAATGTATACAGGTCAGTGGCGGAGGAAGGGGATGCGGGGAGTGAGGGCCACCTCAGGTGTCATCACTGCGGGGAGGGGTTGTGACAAAATGACAAAAATATGAGTTTTTTAAAAAAATGGGCTCACAAAACTTTTTAGTTCAGTCAACAAACATAATGAAATGCGGCCGGCACCTATCGTGGGGCCCGCAGCATGCCTGAGCCAAGTATCTCTCCTGGGAGTGATGTTGTGGCTTGGGCGCCTGCAGGTTCCGCGCTGCCTAAAATGGCAGCATGGGGCTTGTGTCTGCCCACTGCCTCTCCCTCAGCTGCCCTACAGCTGAGGGGGAGGCTGCAGAGAGGCTCCACACAGCATGCCCCACCCCCATGGACGGCTCACCCTGCCCCTGGCTGCAGGCCGCACGGGCCGCACCCGGCACCCGATTAGCTTGCTACTCCGCTGATACAGGTTAGGGTGTAGTTCACAGGTGTGGCCAAACCACAGTGATAACTTCCTACCAATATAGTTGCTTCTGCTTACCAGCAGGAAGAAGGGTAAGGCAACAGCAGTATCAGGCCTATGCAGTGGCGTAGCGTGGGGGGTGCAGGGGGGGCCGGCCACACCGGGCGCAACATCTGGGGGGGCGCTCGCACTCACAGCTGTCTGCCCCTAGGGCAGAGGGGGCGCAAATTACTTGCCTTGCCCCGGGTGCTGACAACCCACGCTACGCCACTGGGCCTATGTGGTGCATTGGCAGGACTAGTGCAGCATGGAGCCCCCAAATGGCCACTACCTTGTCCCCCCCCCCCGTTAAGTGGCGGTGCCACTGCTTCTGGGAAGCAATTGCCAAGGCTCTGCCCCATGGCTGCTCCTGGTAACATTTGCATGTGTTGATTTATAAGTATAGATGCAAATTTAGAAATTATGACTACAGTTTAAAATTTAAAAATACAACGCATCTCGCTATAGTGGGGGAAGACTGTGACCAACTCACCTTCGTATCTCCTCAGTCTGCTGCCCAGGTGTTATCAGTGGGTAACTTCAAGGCCTCTGTACTCCCTTGTTAATTCTTTATTTTTAAACAGAGCTTGGAGCTAAAAAAAGAGGACTTTGTCAAATAGAGGACTGTCCTCAGTAAAGTTAAACACATGACACTAAAACGCACTGAGCGAGACAGGCAGGCACACGCACACACACACTCCTTTTCATCCCCAAATCCCATGAGAAGCAGAAGTGTTAAGTCTCATAAGGTATGAATGCCAAAAGCCCTTACTCTTCCATCATCAGGAGGCATTTTTAGCTGTCCACTCTACTGTCTGAGCTCCCTGCCGTCATCCCTCCACTCTCCCTCCCCCCACCTTGTTGTAGAGGTGCTTGGTAGGTCATCCCTTGCTTATGTCTACAGCACAGGGAAAAATAACAGGCATGCCACCCACTCACGGTGGAATGATCAGCTTCCCTTTCACAGTCAAGCTTCAGAGGGTGAGAAGAGAAGGGAGTGGCCAGCCTGCGGGTGTATTACTACTAGACTGCTGGTTCGAGGATTTTGGCCTGTCTCAATTTACGGCCTGGGCAGCCAGGAACACCTGCTGCTCCCCTCCTTTCCCCCCAAAAAGAAAGACAAATTCTACACAATTATCTGAAAAGCAGCAGGCTGGATTGGACGAATGAGAGCCAGCCTCTCCTTCACCTTCCCCTACCTCAGTAATCATAAGATTCACTACACAAGTTAGCCCTTTCACTGAGAATTTGGTTTCCCAGTGCCATTCACACTTCTTCATACTGGTGTTGAACACAGGTCAGGACCAAATGGATACATCCCTTAAACCAGGGGTAAGGACCCTCAGGCCTGGGGGCTGAATGTAGCTATCCAGGCTTCTCTGTTCTCAGGATTCCCCCAATGCCATGCCCCTTCTCCTCTGGGCACACTCGGCACCAGTTCTCCTCTGGGTGCTCTGTTGTCCCTTGAGAGTACAGCTGTGCCAGGGAAAACATTGAGGAGCCTTGCAAGAAGAGGTAAGAGGCCACTTCTCTCCAGCACCCCAAAGCCTGAGATTCAAAGGCTGAATGACATGACGGAATGACCAGCAGCAAAAGGCTAGTGTCAAAGCTGTGTCAAAGGCCCAGAAAATGGAGTGGGGGGGAAATACAACAGAAAAAAATACCCACTGTTTACCAGATGGTAGGCAGAGGGTCCATTCGTGACAGTAACAACAAACAGGGTGTTGACAGGAGGTCTGGCTTGATACTTCAACTGGCTGAACTTGCCCCTTTGCCATTTTGAACCCTGCACAGTTCAGTACCATATATACTGCTGTCAGGCAGGTGGCTTTCTGGGCTCTAAGAGCTGCCAGAATTGAGTGGCATAACTGTGCTGCGGACAGGAGCACCAGACCGCCACTTGAATACCCTCACAATGGGTTATACTGTGGGGAAATTCAAATTGTGTGTGATGGAGTGCAGCTGTACAAGCCCATTCCTCCCGTCAGTGCTGGGCAAAGAAGAAGAAGAGGGGCACAAGTCAGATTTGTTGTCAACAGCAGAGGGCCCCAGGGACCCAGCATTTACCTGAGGGTGCCATGTTAGCTTTCAGCTAAGGGCACCAGGACTGCCTGGAAATCATATTTTTTGCTGGCATAATTTTCTCGGCATTCTCAAACATTGTTCTTCTCAGTGTTCCTGATGGCTGCTCTGACAAATATTATTTAAACTTGATCTACACCAGTATTGTGAAGTTTTTTTTATCAAATCCTATGTGACATGGTCAGAGTAGAGCCACTGATTCCCATGGACTTGTTACTTTACTTTATTGCTCTCAGTGAGTCATACTCTGAGTATGACCAACAATGATATCACCCTATTTAATGTTAGTTTTTAATTTCCCAGGAGACTTGGTTAGGTCACTGTTGGGCCATTAGAAATTTGCATCAGGAGTCTAGATGTTCCTAATTCAATCTAGGGCCAGCTAAAATTGTTTTGCTATACAGGCAGGAAAAGGTGTGAGCATGAACTGAGAGAGCAATGTCACAGAAAATTCTGAGGCACACTTGAAATTTGTGTGCAGAGGTGGCAGTTCTGAAAGACAAGGGCGGCATGCTGAAAATTCAGTCTGCATCCTCAAGCTGACCGTGATTCTATCCTAAGAGAGAAAAAATACTCCAAGGCAGGGCCAGCCCTACTATTAGGCAGATGGTGCAGGCTGTTCCTAGCCATTCTCCTTCATTGTAGGAAAGGCATGTCTGTCATGAGGCCTTTCCTGGGCCACCTAAACTTGCCTGTTGCCTCAGTGGAGAATGCTATCACATTACTAGTGCTGAAGTAGGTTCCAATTCCCAGTCCGGGGAGGCAGCACCAACTTTTCTTCATCTCAAGCAGCAAATCATCCCTGCTCCAAGCATACCTAACCTTCAGTCTTAAGGAGCAGCAATATACCAAACATGACATGGAAATCAGCTAAGATACAGAAAGCACCAAGATACAGGTGCATCTTGCCTTGACAGAAAGGCA